CCTGTACAGTGCACACAGCAGTGAATACCCACACAAGCTAATGATGCTGATTTACCCAGAAAAGTATTTGGTTCTTTCCGTTGGTGACCTCAGAGCCCTCATTAAGCAGGCTGTACACTGAGGCTAGATGTTGCTGTGACACAGGCACACAAGATTTATAGGAGCAAGAGCAGTTACCATTAAGTTTGTTGTGCAGGAGCAGCTCCACAGTGCTGCCCTTGAGCAAGGGAGCAGTTCTGCACAGCCTGCCTGGAGCAGAAGGCTGGGGGAACCCATTTTAGATCCTGGAGTGGGGGTGAGAGAGAACAGGAAGATTTTCTAGGGCAATTCTCTCCAGACAACCCATTTCCAAATCACCCATCTCATTAGACTCGTGGGAATGGATCTCAATCTGTACAAAAGGAAATGTGTATCTGCTGCGAGGGCCCGTGGCTCCAGGGCCCAGAGATGCTCCTCCACTCCTCTGCACACTTCGCTCTTCAGACTGGTTACTGGTGGTCTTGGAGAAAGACAGTGCTACTGACATTCTAGTCTGGCTGGTTTTATTTTAAAGACATACAAAGTACATATAGAATTGTCATGGCAACTGCTAATTATGGTAATTGCTGCACATGCTGCTTCTAAACACAAGAGGGTACAAGCATCCCGTTATACCAAGGTCAACCGGCCACCCTTTTTTGGAACAGATAATTCCAAGACAGAAGGAGCCCTGTTTCATCCACACTACACAAAGGAGAGAACGTGGAACAGCCACTCTGTGTTTATCCCTACTCATCCCCAACTCTCTGCACCCAAAGGTGGCACTTGGAGCACACCACCCAGCACCCCAGCTCCAGCCAGGATCCCGCCAGGACCTGCCAGCCTCCACGTTGGTCACTGCTGCTGGTGTGGCTTCAGGCATTCCTTTCCTACTCTCTCTCGGGGAATCATGACTTTATCACCACCCTGCCCCACATCCTTCAATCTGCACAACCAACCTTCCTGCACAGAAGGGAGGAGCAGGAGGCAATTCCTCCAATGGACCCCTCTCTCCAGAGGGGTTAGCAGGGCTCACACACAGCCACACCACAGATACCAGCAGCAGTTCACTGCATCTGGGGTTTCCCTTCTCCTGTCCTTGGAACAGCTCTGTACCCTCATTCCCAAGGGAGGAACAGCAGTCCAGCAGGTTTCCAGGTAAAGTGAGAAGCAGAAGGAAGAGCAGGAAGGAGAGGAGATTCCTTGGGTCACCGCATGGGATTTGATCAGAGGGAATGCTAAATCACCAGAGAATGAAATGCTTCAGGTCAGACACATGAGCACAGCAAGCTCCAGCTTGGGAAGCACCTGCTGGCAGAGGACCAGCAGGCCAGGCCACCCTTCCAGGAGGCTGAAGCATCACATGAGGAAAGAACACCCCCGTCAAGTTACCTGCAAGGTCTCAGCATCCGGTGCTGCTTGCTCGTCCAGGGTAACATCAAAAAACAGCTTACTGATGATGTGCCTTTTGCTGACCTAAACACAGGAGACAGAAGAGTTTGATGGGCACAAATATGGAAACAACAGATACGGAAGACAGATGGAGGGGGAGAAGGTAGTGTCTTGTGACAAGGCCATGAAAGGCAAATCAGATCACGTGTTTGACACCATTAGTGGTGATGCTCTGCTTTGGCTCAACAGCACAGCAGCAGACCCCCCACTCAGTTTCTGGGAGTGTGACTCCAGCCAAGCTCCTGAGCCGCAGCAGAAAGATTCAGACATTTCTGAATCGAGCGCAGTCTGTTCTCTGGCAGCTCAGCCCAAAGCAGCTGATGCTGAGCTAACATGATGCCAAATCCTAAGACAGAAGTACGTGCTGCTTTCTGCAGGCAGAAGGTGCTGTAATTGAATTTGATAGCTCTCCACACCTCCCCCATGCAGTTACAGCTTTGTGTTTTAAGTATTATATACAGTCATGACACCAGCTAATTGCATGGTTACTGCCACATAAGATGTTATTTCGCGATAACTCCATGGTAACCCAGAGATGTAAGAGGCAGAGAAGAACAGAGGGAATCAACAAGTCAGGGAAGGAACAAGGGCCAAGACCTTGAGAGGAGGAAAGAAGCACGAACACAGAATAAGCCCAAGCAGCAGCTGGCTAAAAACCTACATGAGAGCAAGGAAACATCTCCTGCAGCCACTACGTGCTAAGACCTGCTGGTGGCATGAAGGCTGGTGACACAAGGGACTTCAAAGACGTTCAGGTCCCAGTTAAGCCAATGGAAACCTGAGGCTCAGCTTCCTAACTCAGAAGCAGAGCACATCCTTCCTTCTCTCCCCAGCCATCGCTTTTCTCAAGGGAGGGTCGACTACTGCTGCACCAGGAGGGGTTGGTTGCAAGGCCCACGTGCAGCAGAACAGGCTGTTCACCTGACAGCAATGGGCTGGGCACACCACAAACACCAGCCAGGTGCCCCATTAACCCTTGCAGCCCCTCCTGTCATCACGTCAGTACTTACCCAGCCCAAGTAAAAGCTGTGAAAACCCACAGCCCTTTTGAAAGGAGCTGCAGTGCAGACAGCAGCAGGGCACCCTCAGCCCACTGCAACCCCAAGGGCTGTGGAGGGGACTTCCTCTCCTCTGGGCAGTCCCAAGTGACAGAAAGTCCCTCTGCTTTTTACCATGAGCCTTTTTCTGGCATCACCCCAGGCCACAGCTCCTTGGTGCCACAGGGGATGGCTTTACCTGGTTTCTGCACTGCGGGCATGTCCGGCTCGGTGCAGTGTCAAACCACTGGAAGAGGCTGAGAAAGAAAAGGAAAACATACAGTAAATCCTTACAGTCCTGGGGCACTGCTTCCAGGGGCCATCCCCCAGCTCCCCAGGGACAGCAGGATGTGACTCCTTGTCACACACTCAACAGAACTGCAAACCTTCAGTCCAGCGCTGGCCGGCAGGAGCTCCATGCTCCACCCGCATCTCCAAGACAATTCCTGGCTGAATTTAGCACGTGAGCTTATCTTTAACAGGGCAGAGCTTTTGCAGAGCTCAGATCTCTCTGGGAGACAGGCACTGAAGAGCTGCAGGAGCGAGTGGATGCGCACAGGAGCTGCTCTGTCAGGGTGTGACAGCTGAGATGCCAGCGCAGGCGGCTCCAAGGGGTGCCACTGAACACGGATCCCTGAGCCGGGGCGCCGGCCTGGCTCTGCTCTGGGACGATGAACGCAAACCTGCCGGGCTCCCCACGACAGCTGCTAATGCATTTTGCAACCAAACCATCACGTCACACTGGAAAGGTTTATTTTGGGAGCAGGTAATGATTTGGAGCTGGCAGGTTACCTTTGGAAGCTCTCCCTGCTCCGCTGGCTGCTGGCAGAGAGCAGGCCCGAGCAGCACTGCTGAGTGAGGAGTGACAATCACACCCGTGCTCCTTTCCAAGCTTGTTATCCAGGAAAGCAAATGCCCACTCTCTCCCCACACAAAGTTTATTTCCTCAGAAGAACCATTTCCTTTCAACACAGACATTTGCAACACAGTCCTAGAAAAGCATAGAATTACCAGGGCGGCTTCACCATAACCCAACATCACTCCCTCCAAACACCCTGTGACACCGGCTCTTCCGGAGAAGGGAGCCTGCAGGCAGCACAGCAACACAAGCACAGAATCAATTAGGTCGGAAAAGATCTGAGATCATCGAGTCCAACCCATGACCGATCACCACCATTCAAGTGCCACTTCCAGTCCTGCCTCAAAGACCTCCAGGGACGGCGACTCCACCGCCTCCCGGGTCAGCCCGTTCACACAGCGAGCAGCACAGCCCGGACTGCCGCGGCAGCTCCGTGAACTCCTCAGAGCCCTCGCGGGGGCTGGCAGCCCACGGCCCGGCCCGAGCCCCCGCCCGCCCCGGCGCTCACCAGGCCTGGTGGAAGGTGTGCCCGCAGGGCACGGCCGCCACGTCCCGCTCGTTGTCGAAGAAGTCGGAGCAGATGGTGCAGTGGGCGCGGATGGGCATGGCGGGGCCGGGCGGTCGGCGCGGGTGGCCGGGGGGGCTCCAGAGGGTCGCGGCCCCGGGGCCGGAGCGGCCGCACGGCCCTGCGCGGTTCAAACGCGACCGCGAACGCGCCGCTTCCGGCCCGCCCCGGAAGTGACCTCAGGGGATCCCGCGCCGGGGCCAAGGGTGGGGCCTGATGTGATGGGCGTGGTCTCTGCGGGCGGGGCCGAGGGCGCGGCCTGAGGGAGGGGGCGGGGCTCGCCCCCGGGCCCGTGCCCCGCGGTGGCGCCCGGGATCCTTCCGGAGATCCTTCCCGGGATCCTTCCCGGGATCCTTCCCGGCGGCGGGCGCTCGCGGGTCCCGCTGCCCTCGCTGCCCGGGCAGCGGTGCCGCTTCCAGCCCTCCGCGTCTCGCTCAGCGCCGTGCTGCCGGCACGCGCGGCAGAGCCCGGGCCCCACAGAGAGACTGGGCAGGCGGCGCTGGTGCTGTCTCAGTTTGTCCTCAGCGGGGTCTTTATTCGCCAGAGATACAGCGGCGGGGCGCGGGGCGGCGGCGGCGGCCGCGGGCAGAGCCGGCCCTGCAGGCATGCAGCTGCGAGGGGGGAAGCGGGGACCGGGGAGGGGGCACGGGGGGCAGTGGGGGTCCTCCAGGCACAACGCGTGGGGGCCGGGCGGCTGCCCCCGGGCGGGGGTCCCCGTGTCCCCCCCCCGGGGATCCCGGGACGGAGAGGGGGTCTCCGGGACGGTCCCCGCTCCGTCCCGGGCGGCCCCGCCTGCGGTCCCGCACATGCACGCGTGTCCCGGAGGCCCCGCGCTGCCCCCCCAGCGCTGCGGGGCGTGCGGCCGAGGGGGCTGCCCCGCGTCTCTGGGCATCCCCGGGGGAGGGGACGGCGGCGGGGGACAGACTGAGAGAGCTGGGAGGACACGGGGGAACGGGCGCCATGCAGGGCTCTGCCCCGCGGCCGGCTCTCCGGCGGGGCACGTAGAAAAGGGGGCGCAGGCGGGGGTGGGGGCCATGCCGGGGCTATGTACAGGGGGCGCGGGGGCCGCTCAGCCGCTCTGCTCGCTGGGGGGCTCGGCGGCGGCCCCGACCTCGTTACATGTGGTGGCGGGCGGTGTGCCGGGGGCCGGGGGCTGCGCGGCGGCGGGCGGCGTGCCGGGGGCTGCGGTCGCTGCCGGAGCCGTGGTCGCTGCCGGGGCTGGAGTTGCAGCGGGGGCCGGAGCCGCTGCCGGGGCCGGGGTCGCTGCCGGGGCCGGGGCTGCCGCCGTCTCCGTCTGCTCTGGCGCCCGCAGGCGTTTCATGAGCGTGGTCACTCGCACGGCTTTCTGCAGGGGAGAGACGAGGGGTGTGGGTCTGGCGGAGGGGCAGCGACTGGCAGCCCCCCAGGTTCTTAGTCCCATGGTGGGGGACCGGCCTTGGCTGAGAGGGGACAATGGAGGCACGGCACACCTTCCACTTGGCCCGGGCGAAGTTCTTCTCGATCTGGGCACAGACACCATCCTTGATGTTCTTGTCAGAGGCAGCATTCCCAGAGATCCTGGAGAGGCAGTGAGGGGTGAGCAGCCCCCACCAGCCCCCTGGCTCCCCATCTGACCCTGCCGCTGCTCACCACTCATGGGAGATGGCCTCCTCTGCTGTGATCCTCTGGTCCTGCTCCACCTCCATCAGGCGTGTCACCAGCTCCTTAGCTGGGGGCACAGGGGGAGAAGTCAGTGCTAGTAGGGGACAACATGGGCACCCCACGTACCCCCCCAGTGTGGGGCTCACCCGCTTGCGAGATGTCATCCCAGTACGGCGGGTCGAACTCATAGTCCCCAGCCAGGATTTTGCGGAAGAGGTTCTTGTCGTGGTTCTCATAGTCATCCTCGTCTGCCTCCTCGTAGAAAGGGGGGTTTCCCGAGAGGCTGGGGAATGTGGTGGGGGGGCTCAGTCCCGCCCCAGCCCCAAGCCCTTGTAGCTACCATGTCCCTCACCCCACACTCACAGGATGTACATGATGACGCCGATGGCCCAGCAGTCCACCGGCCGCCCGTACCGCTGCCGCCCCACCACCTCCGGAGCTGCCAGAGACAGAAGAGCAACCATCCCCCGGGGTCCCCAGCCACCCGGCCTCTTAGCCCTGGGGTGATGGGAGGCACCCACTGGAAGCACCCAGGATCAGCGCCCAGGATGATGGGGAATGGGAGGTGCAGCAGCGGGTGGTAGGGAATGGATGGTAAGGAGCAGCAGGGACCTGCTGGGACCCAGCACCGCCCACTGCATGCCCACCCGGCTGGCTCTCACCCACCCAGGTACTCAGGGGTGCCACAGGGCTCCTTAATGAGCCCGTTCTCCAGCTTGGCCAGGTGGAAGTCACTGATGACGATCTTGGAGTTCTTCAGGCGATTATAGTACACCAGGTTCTCCAGCTGCCGGTGCAGGGACTGTGAGTACCAGGACGGGGGGGCATGGCAGCACCCATGGCTGCTTCCACCCCCCTGCCACCCACCTTGAGGTTTCTGTGGACAATCTTGAGTGAGTGCAGGTAGGCAACAGCCTCCAGCACCTGCCGGATGACATTGCTGGTGTCCTTCTCTGAGTAGTAGCCCTGGTCCAGGATCCAGTCGAAGACCTCCCGGCCAGTGGCCCTGCAGACAGCAGCTCTGAGACCCAACCCTGGTGGGGCCACCCCCTCCCCACTTCCAGATGTCCCAAACTTACAGCTCCAGGAAGATGAAATATTCCTTGCGGGTGATGTAGACATCCACCAGCTGGAGGATGTTGGGGTGCTTCACCCTACAGAGAGACAGGGGCATGGGTGGGAGTTCCCAGTTTGCCTGGTAGCACAGGATCCCCTCCAGCCCCAGCACTCACATTTTGAGGATGATGATCTCGTTTTTGGCTGCCTTCCGCACTTTCCGCCCATCCCGCTTCAGAAACTTCTTGCAGGTGTACAACTTCCCTGTCGTCTTCTCCTTGGCCCGGAAGATTTCACAGAACTCCTCCCTGCAAGGGCATCCCCAGACATCACCCTATTCCTGGGGACCACTGAGACTGGGGTACTTGGGTGGTCCCTGGGCCCACCAGCATTCCCCCAGATCCCAGCAGTCAGGGGAGATGCCACAGAAGTAGAAGAAAGCTGTGTCTCAAAAACACTTTGGAGGGGAAGCAAAAAAACAGCAGTGAGAAGCAACTGATATGGAAGAAGCAAATTGAGAGGGAAGGGGAAGAATTTGCTGGTTAAAAAACCCCATCCTCAGGACAGGAGGGGTAAGATCCCCTGCGAAGCCACTCGTGCCAAGGTGGAACAGCAGCACACCTGACATTAACATCAGCACAGCAGCGGGGGAGAAAGAAAGGGAGATGTGCCGGTAGCTGCAGTATTTCTGTTCTATTATTAATGGTGCTGGAGCCCATCGGCCAGGCTGCAGCTGCAGGGGAGCCCCCGGGGGCACTTGGCACTGCTCCAGCAAAGCCACTGGCTTTCCAATGCCCCCAACTGCGCTGAAATCTCCACAGCTACTGCCCTGGGTGGAGGGGAACAGTGACCTGTGGGCCTTGGGACAAACTGCCCAGAGGATGGAGCAAAGATCTGAGAGCACCAAGGACCCCACTGCCACCCAGTGTGACCTCTGTCCAAGCAGGTGTTTTGGAAGTTGATGGAAAAAATTCTGGTGCCTATTTTGCGGTCAGCCCTGTCTCAAGGGGTGTGAAGGCTTCATTTTTTGGAGTGCATCCTAACAGGTTCCTCAGCACGGCAATAAAAGTTGGGGGAAGCAGCAGTCCTCCACTGCCCCCCAGGTGACATCTGCCTTTCCTTTGCTGTAGCTGAGCCCTCCTGATTCACAAAATGCTCAAGGGAGACAGGATTGTGTGGAATTGCTGCAATCCCTGCAAATCTTGAGGGGAGGAGGGAGGGATATGGGAAGCTGCCCAGCTGCAGCCAGCAGCAGTGGGAAAGCTCACTGCCCTCCCTGGAGCTAGCTGTGAATATCCCCATGCAACCCACGAGCAAGAGGGACTAATCAGGGTAAAGCCACCCCAAAATACACCCTGCAATCCTGGCCCAGCTGGGGACCAGCACCCCCAGAGCCCCCACAGGCAGTGTTGTGCCACTCCTCAGCACCCCAAGAGCCCCACACGGGTGGCTGGGGTTCCCCAGGGCATCTGTGGGGTCGTGGAGAGACCAACTCACGTTTTGATGACCTGGCCCAGGTCATATCTGTCGGTCACCTCAGACGGCTGGTTATAATCTTTCTTGTCTCCCAGCGTCACGCAGCCAAACGGCATCGCAGGGCCCGGTGCTGGCAGGGCAGGGAGAGGCAGTGAGTGCCCCGGCACTGCTGGCCCCCGGAGCCACAGCAGACCCTCCCGAGCTGTGCTAATTAACGTGGAGCCTGAGCACAGCGGCTGCTCGTGCTCTGCAGCTGCCACAAGCTGCCATGTGCCCAGCCCCGCCGACGTGCATCCATGCCCGTGGTATCCAGCCTCTCTGCCCGGGCTCAGGCTGCCAGCACAGCCACAGGCTTCCCCCTCTGGCCCCTGTTTGTGGATTATTAATGATTAATTAGCAGTCAGGGTTAGCACAGTGCCTGGAGCACCCACTGGGGAGGCAAGCGGAGGTGAACAGATCCTTTCCTGTTTCCCAGCCCAGTCTTGCTCACGGTAACATTTCAGCAGATGGGGCCTCCCCAGGCAGAGCATTGTCACACGTTGTCACATGTGCAGTGGCTTACACCAGTCTCAGCTTGCCATCCCCAACCAGCCCCGACTGTGGCACCAGGCAGGTGGCACTGCAGCTCGGAGGTGCCAGCCCTCCTGCCACTGGCAGCGGTCAGGACACCAGCCTTGGCAGACGCCAGCTTCTCCAGCCCTTTAGGAAGGATGCTTTGCCCCTTGCTTCCCTGTTGGGAACTCTTAAAAATCAGATCCTTCTTGGACGCTTCCCAGAAAAAAAAAAAAAAATTGATCACATAAAGTGATTTCTTCCCCTTTCCCACTGTGCTAGCGGGAGCAAGTTTCAGCTGACATTATTTTTTGACGGCTCAGAAGATGACAGAGCTGCCTGGGGCCCCCAGCCCTCTCGGATGGGCCTGAGTGGGACCTTGCGATGGGAAGCTGGCACGATGCTGGAGGCACCCTTGCCCAGGTAAAGCTCCCTGAACACCACGCTGTGCTGTGCGAGCCTGGCTGTGCCGCACCGGCAGCGCCCGGGCCCGGCGGCGAGGGCTGCGGGCAGGATGGCTGCGGGATGCGGGATGCGGGAGCCGGCATCGCGGGTACCCAAGCGCCGAGCCTGTTGCTATGGCAATGGGAGCTGAAGATGCAGAAAGCGGCACATCCTTTGGAGGGGGCAGGGACGGGCAGCACCCGGCAGCACCCGACCCACCTGCAGGTGCACAGCCCCATCCCTGCTGTGCAGGCCCTGGGAGGAAGGCGTGCTGCCTGCAGCACCCAGGGCATGCACTTCAGTGCTCCCTGGGGTGATCGACCCAAACCTGGGTGGGACGTGAGTGCTGTGAGCCAGGGAATGGGGGGATGCTCCTTCCTGCCTCCATCCTTTGGGGCTGACCTGCCTCCGTGCCTGCTGGAGCGATGCCCACAGGATGGAGATCCCAGCTTGCAGGCACCCAGGCACCATCCTGCCAGGAAAGCCTGCACTGAGTAAGCGTACCTGCCCCAGTCCTGCTCAGCGTGCGCCGAGTCCCAAAAGAGAAGAAGAACACCCATGGGACACCACTGCTAGTACACCAGCTTGGGTGAGGTTATCCAGCCTACACCTGACTCATCCCAGCAGCTCTCCTGGCAAACATGCCATGCCTGTGTCCCCATGCCACACGACACCAGCTCTGCTGTGCCACTGTACCTGGCCAAGGGGAATGAGGGCTGTCCTGGCAGCTGCTGGAGGGGCCGTGGGCTCAGTGCCACAGATCATCAGGGGCAGGGCTGGCTGGTGGATGGGCAGGCTGCCAGCACTGGTGGCACGGTGCCAGAATTAGCCGGGAAGGGGACCGGGGTGGGATGATATATCGGGATTTTATTGCTGTCTATGAGAGCTCTCAGCTAATCTGCGCTCATAAAATTAGTTCTCGTTGGTTTAGTGGCCACCCATCCTGCCAGGGCTGAGCATTGCCACCCTGCCCTGCCCCAGCCTGGCTTCCAGGGGCTCAGTGCACCTGGGATACCCCGCAAGGGAGGTTGGTACCCAACCCAACATCAGGGTCAGCACCTGCACCCCACAGGTGAGACCACCCTCCCGGGGCAGGGGCACCCAGGCATGAGGTGGGCAAAGGGATGAGTGCTCCCTCCCCGGGGTGCCGGGGGGAAGGCTCCGTGCTGCGCTGGCACCCGCACGCAGCCAGCACCCCCCTCCAAGAGTCTAATTTGGGAGCAGAAGCAACAGCGGGTGTAAGACAATAGCGGGGAAGTGGGTGGCCGGGTGGGGATGGCACGGAGGGATGACGCAGCCGTGCAGCCCTCGCCAGCGGGGCCCCCCAACCCCCGACCCCCAGCTCTGCCCCACGGCTTGAGGTGCCACCGGCTGGTATTTCATCTGCAGCCCCGCTTCCACCTGCAGCTGCCCTGGACATGTCCGTGGGGGGTTCCCCCTGCCATCCCGCCCCCACGTCCCGGGGGAAGGATGTACCGGGGAGAGGCAGAAAACGCAGCCGGGCTAAGACGGACCGAAATACTGCTAGTGCAGGCAGCGGGAGGCGGAGGGGAGGCGGAGGGGCCGGCCGGCCCAGCGCTGCCCGCGGGGCCGCCGGGCTGGGGCTGAGACAGGGCTGGGGGAGTCCCACCGCCCCCGGGCCGGGGCGTGCGGAGGGACAGCCCGGGCCGCGCACCGCAGGGGAGGTCTGCGTTTGGCCGGCTCGGAGCGCTGCGGCAGCGGGAAGGGAGCGGACTGCGGGAGAGAGAGGTGCGGGGTCCGGGAGGGGATGCTCGGCGGCGGGGGCACGGGGAGAGGCTCCCCGGCAGCATCCGCTCCCGCGGTGCCGGCCCGGTTCTCCGGGCTCCTCGGGGAGACGGGGGCGGCACCAGGGCAGCAGCGGCCCGGGGGGGCGAGCGGGGAGGCGCGGGGGGAGCCGGGCTCCGGCAGCTCGCCGTGCCCACGGCGCCCGTCGGGGCTCGGGGTCGGCGGGACGCGGGGTGCCGGCGGGGGCAGTGCGGCGGCGGACAGCCGTCGGGGCGCGCTCGCACCGGACAGGGACACGCGCGGCCCCGTCGGGACGTCCCGGGCCACGGGGGTCCGGAGGAGAGTTGGGGGCAGCCCCGGGCCAGACAGTGACAGATGCCAGCAACGCCCCCCACGCCGGGCCCGGCCCCCCTCGCCCCCGGTCCGGCGCGGCGCGGCGCTCACCTGCACGCCTCTCCGACCGCA